GCATGTCGTACCCGACCGGTTTTTGTGGATATATATTGAAGAATACGCCTATACATGGGCTAAGACACTTGATATGATAATATGGGCCGAGCCCAACCTAGGCCAGGCCCATCTTGGACTATAAGGTACACCACCCTCATAAAAGGGGGAAGAGGTACTCATTCCCTCTCATTCTCTATTCATTCTCTAAGCATTCTCTCCCTACCCTCTCTCTCTATGCATATGAATCCAGTACTGACATAAGCATCGGAGGCCCAAAGCCGGGCACCTCTCCCGGGGTCCCGGACTTTGGGTTCTTGCAGGTACGGTGGCCGTCCGAGTCGAGGGAGCCCGGGTGACATCTTTGTCCCATCAAGAAGGAATATTCCTTTCCTAATGTAATTTAATATATGGAATTTAATTAATTCCTAATTTCCTAAATAGAATTAAATAATAACACACCCCACTAGAGTAATATTATTTCTCTCCCCATTTAGTTCCAAATTATTCAATAAATTCGAACCTCCAGTAATAAATATTAATCTAATTGATCGATTTATCTCCATATGTTTAAGATATAATAACGTCCATCAATTAATTTATCTACTTACAATTAAATTAAATTGACTTCTTTCATATTCGAAACTAGCACCACTCAGTTCATTAATCATTATGTCGGTAATTATCCATCTGCATGGTTTGACATAATATAACTTCTTGAGCTCATTTCGGGGACGTCATCAACCCAGCGCACTGGGACATGGTGACTGTAAATAATTTATAACAGCACATCATACAGTCACTCTTAGTTACCAAAGTACCGAGTATGTCATCCTAACAGAATATGAATCACCCTTGGCAAATCAAATAAATAAGAAATTAATATATATGTCCATTTTATATTATCTTACAGCTTAAGAGTACGCATCAATTGCTGAAGGTCTAGATTATAATCACGATCAGTAAATCTTATAATCTTATCCTTCTGCGGTCGTTCAATACTTATCGTAAGTACTAGTGTAACCCATCAGTCAAAGATCAACTAAATCAAGACTACACTACAATCTTTTTCCAACAGGGGTCTCACTGACTATTTTTTTTTTTTCCGAAACCACAGAGGATTTTATAGATCAAAACGCACAAATGTGCAAATTACAACTTAGAGCCGCAGCCAAAAGCTGAATAAAGCTGGGAGGACTGATCCGAAGACCGCCTAAATCCGAAACTAGCAACGCTAGAATCCAAAACAAACACATATAAACTACCAAAATAACTACGAGGCTCCCAACAGGAGAATCTACTAACTCCCAACAGGAGAATCGTCACTGAGGCTAATGCCCAAACCAAAAACACGAGACCTAACAAACCAAACAAACAATACGAAAGAACAAAAACAAAAACAAACAAACAAAGCAAAAAAGCAGCAACAAATAAACTGGCCCTTCCAAAGAAACTACACCAAGCCGAACCCAGCGGAAATGAAGCAACAGTGAATCCCGCATCCAGGAGAATCGACCCGAAACTGCCTAAACCACTCGGGTGCCTAACGGAGCCGAAATCCTAAGCCCGGAATAGCACCAGGCCACCCCACTCCACGACCACCACACCAGAATGCCCCGGACGGACAGAAGGGTGTCGCGACCACAGCACCCAGTCCCTAACCGCTTGGAATCAGAGCAAGGCCTCTTCAGCCACCGCAGCCACAGAACCGCAGCCACCGAAATGTCGCGTCGCCACTCCAGCCAAGACCCCTGGCGGAGGAGAGAAACACGACACCCCCTGCAACTCGACGCCGAGAATAGGGGGAGAACCTCGAACATCAACGACGCCCCCTTCACCCGACCAAAAGAGAAGTCGAGCGATTGAGACGCTTCCCGCCCCGAGAACAGCGCAACGGCTCCACCGCCACCCAACAGAGGGGTCGCCGCCCGGAATTGACACAAATACGACGACCAATCACTGACTATTTAAAGTGTTAATAGTTAATTTATATTTTACAAGGAACCGATAATATGATCTTTTTGTTCGACACGATGAACCACATCATCTACAATGTAAAATAATGGAGTTATTATTGCATAAATAAATAAACTGCAAACATAATTACTTTGACTAAAACACGATTGTCATATCAAAATGATACTAGTACAACGCCCGTGTATTACACATGCGCTTGCTATTCTTTTTCTTAAAATCTAAAATTAATGAGAAAAAGCAGTTGAAAATTTTAAATATCTTTTATAAAAATATATATATTATCATATATTTAGTATGAAACTTTTTATTTGTGCAACTTACATGTGTTATATTATAATAATTTTTTAAACTTACAACATATAACTACATTAAACATAAATATATCAATTGAGAAATAATTTTATTTTTCTAATGAATTTTAATAAATATTATTATTTTTTATTATTATAAAGATAAATATAATTTATTTATTTCATATATACAATATGGATGTCAAATCGAAGATCATCAAAAGATGATTAATTTGATATATGATATATGTAAAACCGATAAGAAATACAAAAGTTATCAACTTTTAAAATACATTTATAATTCAATAGTTAATTGAAGGAAACAAATGAAAAGTCAGGGATATATTAGTCACTTAGTGCCTCAATATGTAAAATTACAAAGAAATAAAGAGTTATATTAGTACAAGTGATATTAAAATACCTAAGTTAGCTAAATAATATTTATGGAATGTCCAAACCTAAATGATTAATTATTAATATATAAATATTATTTGTCCAAACCTAATTACGAAGCATGATTCTTTGCCAAGTAGAATTCCGAAGCACCAGAAGCAGCCACGTAGGCTAAGCTAATTCGGGAATAATATATAGGGAGGATAATATATAGTGAGGATTGTTTATATCTGAAAGCCAAGCTTTTACAGCATATCTAACACTAACATAATCTAATATAGAACACTTCACAATTTCACTAAAATATCTTCACTTGGTTCATTCTATTTGGATTCTTATTAGCAACTTTGAAATTGGATAATATGGTAAACACCAACAAAGGAACCAAAATAAAGACTATTTTCTTCAACTTTTTATTCAACTCCACCAAATAGTCATATTTCTTTGTCAGGCTCCCAGTCTCAACATCGCTCTCATTCATCTTTCTCAGGAGGTCAGGTATTATTGTTTTAGACCTACGACACATTGAAGGATTGAACCAATCAAATAAATCACACAATCTATGTTGTATATTGAAAAATTTAGGAATAAAAAAAGATGAAAATTCTTCACATAAGAATTGAAAACTTCATTAGACATGCAATTCTATTTAACACCTGACCTCGCAATTCAAGCATGGTTGGAATCGCCGCCTAGGGTTTGTGTCCTTCCATCATGTCTGAATCACCACCCTCCGACCATAATGGCATTTTCCATCTCCGGTGACAAAAGACATTTTTCAATAGGGTTGAGATTTAAAAAATTGAGAGAAGAATTCTGAGTTTGTCCGTTTTATTTGCAGGTGTACACAACCACATCAGATGTCTATCGCCATCGTGTAAAAAAAAAAAAAGTCACATGTGCACGACGTGACTTTCTGGGCCGAAAATTATAATTCCGACAACAATAGTCCTACTTTTGATCACTTTTTAAATATTGTGGAACTATTTTGATTTTCGGTATTCCGTCTGGACCAAAAATTTCACCCTCTATCGTCTGTGTGAGACTAGTTTTAAAAATTTTCCTCGTATTATTAGTTTATTTTTTAAATTTATTGATAATGATATAAAATTTATTTATATTTTATCGTCAAAGAAAATAAAAATCATAATTGCAACTTGTTAGTGTTCATAAAGTTTGCACTATTTTATCAAAAAAATACCAACAATTACAAAGTCTAAAAATGGCCACAAGATTGCAAAAAATATTTTACGCTAAAGACACCAAGCATGCCGAAGGAGATTTTCAATTGGTAGCTTTTCTTATAGCACACATATTAGGGGGAAAAAAATGTGATTAAATTCAAAAGGCACAATTATAACTAATGAGCTACAAATTTGACAACAAGCTCAAAAAAAATTCCTATGTTCCTCTTACTTCAAAGGGGCAACATCTATATAAAGCAAGAAGAACGCCAAAGTAAACATCTAACAATAGACTTATTTCATTTATTTAAAGTTAGAATTACAATATGAAATTACTCTCATTTACATTTTTCACTATTTTGTGCCTCACAACATTTTCGAATTGTTATGTTGAAAGAGGCCAACATCCTCTTAAGATGCTACTAAGGTCGAAAATCTTGTCAAAACATCGATATCTTCCAAATGTGGATTTATCGGTCGAGCAATCCCAGGTGTATGTAGCTTCCCAAAAGGACATGAAAGAAGCTGACAAAATCGAAGAGTTGCCTGGACAACCACCGGTCAACTTTAGCCAGTATTCGGGTTATGTTACTGTTGACCCAGAAGCTGAAAGAGCTTTGTTTTATTATTTTACGGAGTCGGAGGACCCGGAAAATAGACCTTTAGTGTTGTGGCTAAATGGAGGTAAGAGTAATTATAAAAGTTACTAGGAAAAATGCAGTTTTGGTTGTTACACGGTTGCTTTCCATTTTTATCTACTATTTATTAGAGATTTGATACATTAAGTTTTAATTTTTTGTCAATTTTGTTCAATAATTATAGGATTTCAATTTATACAATTTATATTTTTCTCCACTTGCCAACCATGGAACTGCAGGCCCCGGATGCTCTTCACTTGGAGCGGGAGCAATGTCAGAACTTGGACCATTTCGGGTCAACCCGGATCGAAATACTCTACGGTATAACGAATATGCATGGAACAAAGGTAAAAACATGAAAATAAATAAATAAATAAATAAATAAAGTTATCAAAAAACACTAAACACAACTTGATTTTGATCATAATTCATAATTATTCTCTAAAATATAAACTTATTTATGCAGTTGCAAATGTTTTGTTCTTGGAGTCACCTGCTGGAGTTGGGTTTTCGTACTCAAATAGATCGTCCGATTATGTTACGGGTGATGCAAAGACAGCGAGAGATACTTACGCCTTCTTAGTTAACTGGCTCGAAAGGTTTTCTGAATACAAAAATCGAACGTTATACTTAGCAGGAGAAAGTTATGCTGGTCATTATGTGCCTCAGCTTGCTAGTTTAATATTGAATCATAACAAGATCAAGAAGCCTACCATCCTTGACTTGAAAGGAATTATCGTAAGTTCTTGATCATTACTTACTTTTATTTCTGATTGTTAAGTTGTAGAAAAATTCTAACAGATTACCTTCAGTTTAACTATTAGAGCATCTACAATATTTTGGTTCATTCAACAAAATATATATGACATATAGGAAATAGAGTCCGTCTAGAAAGATATGTACTCCAATTCAAATGCAAGTGAACTGGGTCGTGGTTATGTGGCAACAAGAAAAAGAAAATTGGTGTAGCCTTAAGTCTATTTTAGACCCAAGTAGAGACATAGTCTCTTTGCATTGAAGTTCAATTTGTTACTTTATAATTTTGTCCATGTCATCTAAGATTTAAGTCTATTACATGCCACATAAGCACAATTAGACCCATAAATGCTCTTAAAGTATCCATCTTTAGAAATTGTTCTTGTGCAGTTT